ACCTCTTTTTGTGTTCTATATGGAGAGAAGTATGGCAACTCGAAATGCTGTTTTTTATTTATTTATTTATTTTTTATTCCTTTACGTTCACAGTGGAATATAGGGTACCTTCAAGCTAGAGCTAGCTTGAAGTTTTGGTAACAGTGGTTGGTATTTATTTTTACAGGATGGGATTGCTGGCCAGCTTCATGCCCAACCTTCCCTCTTTACCAGTCTTATTACTGGTTTAGCGAGGTAAAGCAGTGCGTTGGTGGCCGGGGATTTAATAATAATAATAATTTGCTTTATTCCAAACCAGTGATTGTGATACAGAATGGAATTCTCCCCATTTCACTACAGTATTGCATCCAGTTAGTACGTACATTAACAATAAATAAAATTCTACATAGATTAAGGGTAATCTCAGTTAATTTTGACAACAACATATTAGCCTATCGGTAGCAAAGCCGAAATTGAACAGACTGTTTGAAGGTGTTAGAAAAGTAGATACTAGCATATTTACTGGCGTAAGCGGTAACAAAAACATCGAGATATACAGAGTGTGAAAGAACAAAGAAGAATGAGCATATATAGAAAACTATACGCTCGCACTACCAAGTACAAAAACTCAACCATACTCTGTGGAGTACGTAACAATGTGACAGTGGCGGCAAGGATGGACAAGCTATGCTATGGGATTTGACATCAAATAAGTTCTTATACACGCTGGCTAGTGGTGGAATTATTAATGCGTTGTGCTTCTCTCCTAACCGCTATTGGCTTTGCGCTGCATTTGGACCCAGTATCAAAATATGGGATTTAGAAAACAAAGTCTTGGCCGATGATCTACTCCCTGAATCGATTTCTGCCAATTCATCTGGGAAACAGTTACAACCTGATTGCACATGCTTAGCTTGGTCAGCAGATGGTCAAACACTTTTTGCTGGATTCACAGACAACCTTATTCGTGTATGGTAGATGAGTCAAATAGGTTGTTAAGTAAAATATACTGATTGAACACTCAAAAAAAAATTATGTACAATATCTTGAATTTGTACAAATAACCAAAAAGTGTACAATCACATTGTTACGTACTCCAGAACTCTACTTAGCTCGTTTTCTGTGCGATAAAGAAAGCATTAGGCGTGATACCTATAACTTATTAAATAGTCAGTAGAACAACTGGATCTCGTCTTTCCAACTCCTCATATCATTTATAGGTACAACGTTTTTCTTTCTTTCTTTTCCTTTTCTCTTTTTTTTTAATCCCGGACCACATGAGGTATGGTCGGTGGGCATTCTACCTTTGTGCAACCAAAGCAAGAACTGCTGTACACTTCTATACAAAGTTCTATTCTGAAACTAGCCAGCTAGATAGTGAATAAGCTCAGTTTTCTCTTTTTTTTAAATATTTTTCTCCTTAAAATATCTGGTTTCACACTCTTGACTTTTATTGTTCATTATATTCGTGTGATTTTTAAAAATTGGCGGCTATCGAGAATACCTTTACAAACAAGTGCGTACATACACTTGCCACTAGATTTTATTTCATACCATTTGCCTACACTTCTGTTAAGATAATAATTATTCTCCTTTGTAGCAAAGTATGTAGGTGGGTAGGTAGGTAGGTATCTTAGTAGTTAGTGGTCAATCGTCATGTTTTAAATGTCAATAGCAAATTTTGGTTGTTTACTGTCTCAACTTTTCTTTGTGGTGGTGGTGGTGGGTGATGCAGTTGGTGGTGTTTTATTTTTATGCTTTTAATGTGTATGTATGCTGTTTTATGAATTACCTTCTATTTGTCTTCCTTCATGTTCCCGTCTGCATTGTGAAGTGTGAGAATATATGTGTACTAGGCGGTAAATTCATTCTTTAAAAGTAGCGATAGTATTAGTAAAATGAGGTATTTTATTCCCTAAAACATTTAACCTGTCTTATTATCTGATACATATAAACTAAGCTTTATGAACAGGTGGTGATGATAATGAAACCACTTCAGATACGATGTTTTGATTTTATAAAATGTAAGTGTTATGGTGTGGTAAAGGTACTTCAGTGTTCTAGTTTCTGAAGTTAATTTATTTCCTGGTACAAAATTTAAAACAAGCAACAAATGGGGTTAATAAAGCAGGATTCAATGATTCCATTATGGGCAAAATTGTATTTTGATAAAGTCTCACACAGTGTGTTATACAGTACAGTAATATTCACTGATGACCATCTTTTGAGCACAATTTATCACTGCTCATAATCATATCAAGGCACTCACTTACACAACTTTCTAACTTTGTTGATATAATTATTGAATTGAATTTTTGATTTTCCCGTCGATTGATTGGACCGAAGTGTTCGGTCTCAGGTTGACATGTCGGCTTCTTGTGCAGATGCTTCGACGATGTCTGGGGATTTGATTTGTATACAATTGGTGGATGGTGGCTAGCAAAATTCAATTCAATAATTAATATGACCCGTTGCACAAGAGGTGGCTCTCGTGGCCCAAGTGGTCTAGTGGATAACGCTTTGGCGTTTGAAACTATGGGCACTGGGTTCGAGCCTCGGTGGGAACATCATCACTCACTGAGAAATGCAGGTACATCCAGATGACGAGTCTCAATTAGGACGAAATGCGCATCCTGGATTCCACTGCTAGCCACCATCCACCAATTTGCTGATATAATTCCATTAATTTTCATCGCTTGACTTCATGGGTAGTAGTATTTTCCCTATTTTCGGTATTAGTGATCAGTCATTCCAATTGCATGTATTGGGTGTAGACTTGATGAACCAGGGGATTCAGTAAGTAATCACCTCTCCCTATCTCCACCTACTTATATTACTTTTTAGAATTTTAACTCTGTCCCACTCTGTCGTGTGATTGTGTGTGAATGCATGCAGTACAATGTAGTGCTGAGCTTTTTTCCAAGTTACTTATCTTCGTGGGATCAATCATTCTAACTTCAGGTAGATTTTTATGTTCTGACAATCTGACTACCCCTGACCTACTAGTTTGACCTATGTAGCTGACTTAACTCACAGCTAATGCAAGGAATTTTGTAAATTATATTATTTTGTTTAATTGGGTCAATCGACAGGGTCCTTTCACCTACAGAGCTTGTTCTAACTGAGTGAGTTTGTAGGTTTGAATGCCACCCTAATTCCTGCTCTGTTTTGAGAATCCTACGTATGGCCTCAGACGTTCACTCCTTATATGGTATAACAGTAGATGCCTTATATTCTTTCTTATTTATTATTATTATTATTATTATTATTATTATATCCTTTAGTTCCTAAAGAAACATAGGGCTTCAGCTGCGCACCTCCATTGCCTTCTGTTTTCTGCCAACTTTTTCACCCCGCTCCAAGTCTGTCCACATGCTTTCATCTCCTCCTCACATGACCTCCTCCAAGTCACCCCACTCTCACACTGACGACCAACTCGCCGATTCACACTCTGTCGGGTTCCACTCGAGCGATGGCTTGTCTAGTGATGTCACTTGATGGTTTCCTCAGAGTATGGCCAATCCATCTCCATTTCTTCCTGCCTATTTGTTTCACAATCGATTCCTGCTGTGTTGGTTCGCTCATTGCCAGAGATCCCTGTTTCTGATCTTTTCTGGCCATCTGATCTTGAGTATTGAGCGAGGACAACTGTTGATGAAGGTTTAAAGTTTGTTTGAGATGCTCTTTATGACTCGCCAAGTCTCTGATCCGTATAGTAGTACTGGCTTCCCATTGCAGTTGAAAATCCGGATCTTATTTTTCATGCTGAGTTCTGTTGACTTCCACACAGACTTAAGAGTAGGCCCTTGGTTGGTTGGTTCACTGCTAGATTTCCTTTCTCTTAATCCTTGCTGATTATCTGGTCTTCAGTATGAAGTGATAGCAGATGTTGGTGAAAGTCTGCAGTGGCTGACCTATTGAAAATGCCCTCTTTTGACGCGCCAATTCCCTGAACCATATATATATAGAAGCTATGATTTTCTATTTATTTGATGATATTACATGCTTGGAGGCAATCGGCCACAAGAAGCCTTAGACCTAGAATGGTGGCCACATTGCAAACCTGACTGACAGAATTCAGTCTGCATCAAACAAAGGGCTAGACACATGGTACACTAGTTACTAGCGTCCAATCAAAGGATTTGCTAATAGTGTTTAGTATTCGGATATTGTTTTTTTTTTGTGCGCTTAGTGCAGTAGATTTCCACTGCCTTTGACATGCTTATCTATATGTTGCTATGTATGTATTCCCTTTGAACAGATAGGTCAGCTTTCAGTCGTTTTATTGTGATATCTCCCATGTTAGGTGATAGGTGTAATAGGTTGAGTAATATTGAAGTTCGGTGTGAAATTTTAGGTTAGTGATATTGTGAAGCAACTGCATCGATTGAGATGGTTAGGACACGTATATTATGCTTGCATTCCTAGCCATCGCCTTCCTCGACAGTGGGCGATGTTAGCTGACATAGGATCAGATTGGTAAAGAGCCATTGGTGGTCAAACAAAAACATGGCTTCATCAGTCAGGGAAATCCACAACAGTTAGTTTAAGCTAGTCACGTAGGGAGATGTAGACTGTCTGTCTGATTGTTTGGGGTCCTCGAGATTGGAAAAATCGATGGCTGGAGACAATTGATGATATGGCTGGCGAACAAACTTTCAAACTTTGTGATTCACCAGTCATATCCAATAAAACTCCTCTATTGTTCTTCCATAATACTATTCTTTTTGCCTTACTACTCACGCTTCTGTTTATTATCTCTCTTTTGGTGAGTCTCTCTTTACTCTCTTCCTTTGCTTTGTGTGCTACATGGAGGGGAGTGTGGCAATTTGAAGTGTTGCACACCACCTGTGAAAAGTTGTTCTACGTTGAATTCAGTCAGCCGGTAATTGTGATATCGTCTCAACAAACCACAGACGTGTAGGCTATTTATGTTTCTCTTGATTATTTTCAATAATCGAAGGTACTTTTAAATTAATTCTTGTTTTTTGTTTACTTCAATATTTCTTTTTCAATTTCAGATTTATATTATCCATCATTATGTCACAACTCTTTTTTTTGTGAATGAAATTATGTGGAAAAATAAATGTTAAATAACACAAACCCTTTTTGTATGGAAATTACTCAAGACAACATAACCCCACCACCATCACCACCACCACCCGACGAAGACACGAAGTGATTACTCGAAAGTGAAAAGAAAAATCTGATAATTGACAGTTGGTGCCACCTCCCCCCTTCCCCTTTACACTGCATCCCCCTTGTACTCCAACCATTCATCCATCCACCTACTCAGTCAGTCTTCGTTTCACCAATGAATAAGGCTTGTTTATCTAATCGATATAAACAGAAAATAATAAAACAAGCTTTAAATGCTAATTTTATACTTCTCTATCAACCAGCACCGAATTCCTTTATTATAATACAAAAATCTGATCATCACATTCCTGGGGATCATGAGATAACAGAAAATGAAGAACCCACTACAACATCATCTTTGATCAATCGTTGTTCTTGTAATCTACATGACAAGCATAACTGTCGTCCACATCGACGAGAACCACCACCACCACCACAACAACAACAGCAACAGCTGCAGGGTGTTGTTCTACGTCAACGTTATCGTGTTGTGATTGGACCACAAATATGTAATTGTCAAAATGAATTTATGCCTGAATCAGGATTAATGACGACGACCACAACGATGATGATGACGAAAGAGCCATGTATTCATTTATTATTTGTTATGTTGCATATTCTTAAAATACCTAGTGATGATATACACTTAATGGTAATACCATTGCCAAGTTCTAAAGTAAGTTGATTTGTAAGGATTTGATTTTTTGTTGTCAAGTTTAATCAGTTAGAGAATCAGCGAAAACCACTAGAGGGAGGGAGCACTGAACAGCTGTTTCGCCAGCGTAGTTTTAGACTCATTGGTACTATGCACTCACTGGTCAGCGATCTCGTAAACCATTTAGCCATTCGGGCCCGACTCAATGACCAGCGCAATAAATATTCTAATTTTCACCAATTTGTGTTTGTTAGCGCGACCACCAACCCATATCATCGGCGGGAAATGTATCCTCATTCCCCCGACTGGATGAACCTCACTAGTCACGACTTCTCACTCACTAGAACTCCAAGAATCTCCGTCCTCTAGCAAGTCACTGGCAAGCATCTAGTTAGGAGTGAGTTTAGATGAAATTGGTTGGTGGTGGTTGTGTTAAATATATGACGAATTGGTAGAAGTTAAAATATTCATGGTCTGTCTGGCTGGCCATTTAGTCGAGTCCCAGTGGCTGCTTAATGGTCTACGAGCTTTCCTTGTGACCGGAAGGTACTGGGTTCGAACCCTGGCTAAGTGAAGGAGCTAATCCTACGCTCAGTCTTCTCTCTTCAGTAGTCTTACTAGCTGCCGTCTTTAGATAAGGTTTAAGAGTAAGCTATTCGGGAATCGAACTCCAAACCAGATGCGTAGTTGGCATGTGTGTTCTAACACACTGAACTCTAACAACGCTCTAAAATTTCTCAAAAGAATGGATACTGAACAAAGAATACTCTTTTTGATAACCCCTTCATCATCAGGCTCTACAGTTATATATACATTATAGTGAGTGAATGAATGAATTAGTGTTATGGACAACATCAATGTTGTTTAAATAACATCGAAACAGTAATATTGATAGATTACAGTTCAATAGCATCAACATAAATATGGACTGAATGTCAAAAAACACATTAGGAAAGATAATATTACAAATTCATAAATTTATAGTCTCTACTGAAGACCGGCCAGAACAATAGTAGTGGCTAGCTGGACTTGCTTCTTCTCCACACAGAACACTGGTTGTTTGAGGCGTATTGCAATAGCCTCTGCTGTTTGGAGTATGCTGTACCTCGATGTTTTTGGCAATTTATGAAGCACTCGGTACATGATAGAGAAGAATTCTTCAGTGCTGGCTGTTTTGTGGCCGGATGGTTTGCACCAGATGGTCTAATATCGAACTGTTAGTGGTTTTTTACTACGCCTTTACTTAGCCATACTGGGAGATGTTCTCGAGCACAAAAAATCAACTGCCTAGAGCAACGGTCGATATAACTCGCTTTACCACAAGCGCAGTTGAATTGGTAGATACAATTTGAAGTGGCCAGCTAGTCTAGGTACTTCATCTTTCAGTCAGTCAAGATAGCACCATCGGTCGTGTAGAGAATAATACGTGTAGTTTGCCTGCATTGAACCGATTTTCTTAATTTCCTAGTAATTATCTCACTTGGTATATCCATCGCCCTTGAATTGTAGTCGCACATATAAAGTGGCTTCTTGTTTACAGAGTAGTGAGTAGTCCTTTTCCGCCGCTTTCTTTGTCATGAGTTTCTTGATCATTTTATTCCTGGTCATTGTGAAGAAAAATATTTCTTTTTTGCCAATGAACCTTGTTAACTGACTTCCTCCTTTTTTTCAAAATAGGCTGAATTTTGGATTGAAAATTATCGAAATTATCGTCAGTCAATTCGACAATCCTACACAAAAAATAAAAAGTACTCGTCAACATCACTATCAACATCCTTATCATCGAATACGGCGAAGAGTAATGCGAATTCACCAGAATTATCTAAATTCTCAGAGAAATTATTATTATTAAATAATACTACTAGTAATAATGAAGCAGTATCCAATACACGTTTAATTATTCCTCAACCTATTCGTCATGAACAAAGTCAACACCACCAGCAACAACAACAACAACAGGCCAATAATAATTTATCTCATTTACGCGCTATTATCCATCCAAATACTTTTGATTCTACAGAATTATCCTCAATTACACAAGACATTATCCCGGTGTCTAGAAGAGAAGTTGAAAGCTCTACTGGTAGCGGTGGCAGTGGTCTTGGCAGTACATGTTGTGATCCAAGTACTACTTCATATAATACAACAGTAACATCAAGAACCAGTTCTATTGATAGTATAGAAAGTTATAAATTAGATTCATCTAATAGTCGAGTAAATGACTTCCATCATCCCCTTCCTCCCCCTCACCATCATCACCAGTATCATCATCGTCCGCATCTTCCACATCATCATCATCCACATCAACATGACCATCGTCAGCATCAAAATTATCAAATGAAAACAGCCACTTCTATAAATTCGGATAGAAGTCTATCGTGTAGACGACCACGTACTGCACCACAACCTGAACTACCACCGAGGCTAGGTCGTACAAGAACTAAATTTGTCAGGTAAATATTTATACCTATAAAAATTCTGTTTTGCAGTATTCTTATTGGACTGCGTAATAAAAAGACGGTTGGGCTACACAATTGTTTATTCTTCTTCCAAAGATAACGAAACAGAGTTACAATTGTTACCAAGTGCAAATGTCTGTTATATTATTGTTAATATAATGTCGAATAATACTAAATTCGTTTTACGATTAAGTAATGATAGCCTTCTTGTCTCCCACCAATCCGGAGACTATAAATTGATATGATTATGAACAGCAATAAATTGTGTTCGAAACCTCGTCATCCAGTAAACAATACTGTTTCACTCACTGTGTGATACATCTAATAAACAAACTAATATGGAATCTGGAGACTAGTTCGAATAAACAATCGATTCGATTTTCACCAACATTGGCAAGTCCGTTGATCCATCAGTCGCTGAGTTGGGTACCAACGGCCTTTCCTAAATCGGTTACATGGCTTGTCTCGTTGGCTGAAGATTCTGTGTGTTCTCAATCTTTGAAGAATTCCAGCTGTATTCCATCGCTCCTTGATTTTCAATGATTTTCTAGCTGATGAGTTTGTACATGATACGTCAGCCCCTTAGTACTCACCACCATGTGGCGGGTGATAACTAGCATTGGAATTCAAGGTATGCTCATTTTATCATATTTGACTAAATTTAAGTTGCAGCGGAGACAATATCACTGACTTACTGTGGTGTATTGTTGGTATATCCAGATGTTAAGTGTCAAATAGGGCGAGATGCACATCCTCGTGGATTTCAACATGCTGTTAGTCACCGTCTACCAATTATTTACACTTCCGCTGTTATGAATAAAGCTCGGTAATAAACTCTTTAGACTTCTTGTAAGCTTACCACAAACTTTGTCATCAATCACTTACAATATATTCTTTTTTTTAAATGATACAACTGAGAAGTATTCATAATAGCAAGGATGTACTCACATATTGTCATCGTCCAGAAAGATTATGAAGGTCTTCATTAGTCTTTATGTATTTTTCCCCTTCACCGGGGTCATACTTTTCGAAAAGTTCTAATGACCTGCTCTACCCACCCCACTGTCTGTCTGCCTCTTTTCGGTATAGAACTTTGCACAGATGTGCAGCAGTTCAAGTCGACACACTCCCTTTTTGTAGCACACAAAGCAAGAGAAGAAAGTAGAAGACAGTAAACAGAGGTGTGAGACAAAGGAATAGTAATAACGAAGAACAATATAGTTTCATTGGAAATTATAAGTCACAAGGAGTGGATGCATCTGCGCCAGCCAGCCATTGAGCCATATCACCAATTGTCTTCGGTCTTTATTGGTTTTTACTGTCCCGAGGATCCCAACCAGTCAGGAAGTCTACACTTTCCTACATGGCTGACTTAAACTAACTGTTGCAGATTTCGTTGAGGGTGCCATGTTTTGGTTTGACCGGCGCTAGTTCTTTTCCAGCCTGACCCTATATCAGCTAACATTGCCCGTCGAGGAAGGCGATGGCTAGCGATGCATGCGTAACACATGTCCTAACCATGTCAGTCGACGTAACTTAACAGCCTCGTCGATTGATTTCCCCTCCTTACCTAATACTCGACGCTTAACCTCACTGTTGCTCACTCTATTATACCACTTCACACGGGAGGGAGATAGAACGCGGGCACCTATGATCAAAGACAGCCAGATAGCCAGGCTTTCCATATATTTCACTCTCAATGGCCAGGTCTCACAGTCAGCCATATAGGAGGACGGATTGGACTGCTGAGCAGTTCACACCCCCTTTGGTCGACAGCCAGCCAGTCGGATATCACGTCTACGCCAGAGGAGGTGTAAACTGGTATATTCGAAACTAGCCCTCTGTATCCGTGCTGAGATTTCGTCAGAGATCAACGTGTCGGCACTGGCTGATGGAACTTCCCAAATAAGTGAAGTAGTCTATGTGCTCTACCACTTCACGCCCTATTTCTAAACTAGGAGTCACTGGTCACGAATTCTCACTAGAATACAGGTTACTACATAACTGCATAGGGTTAGCCACTAGTGAGTGTCAAATTGACATTCAAGTGTTTTCGGTGACCAGTGAAGTACAGCAGGTCGGTTGTGAGGACAAATACTCAACAGCTATGACATTGGCTTGTGTGCTATTCCCATGAGTTGGCACAAGATGGAATTCATGAGCTGGCCACTTAATTCGCGTCCCAGTGGCTTAATGATCTATTACCTAGCTCGCCTTGTAACCGGAAAGTCCTGTGTTCGAACCCTGACGGTAGGTGCATACCGCTGAAGAGCCCCCAACTGGATTGATAAAACAGCTGTCCAGTACTCCAATGTTTGGTTTTCTAATGGTACTCCTAACCGATGATGTCAGCTCATGATGAAATCCTGGAACCAATTAAATCAAATCCCTGCAAAATGCAACATTTAAATATATTTTTTCGTATCTTATATTGTATATCATTTAGTTATTTGCTTCTGTGACAGAACTGCTATGCACACTCACGCATACACTTTGTAGTAGGTTTTGTTCCGATAATTTTATTGTTTTTGTGTGTTTGTGTGTGGGTTTGTATGGTTAACTTGTCCGTTACATAATTTACGGTCAATTACACAATCATCTACAAAATGATTTCCTTGTAAAGGTCACGTTTTTATTGTTTAATGATGATGATGATGGGATAAATTTTTTTAACTTTGTAATAGATCCACTGAGCGTTATTCAGTTAGTTGGTTATTTGTGTCTCACTTTCATTCTTCGTTTATTACTGTTATTATTACTATTATTATCCTACTAACTTATATTATGACCTGTCTAGACGGGAGTTTACGGGAGTGTTATGAGAGAGAGGTGTTCAAAGAAGAAGAGAGAGAGAACTAAGCCATAAAATTTGATTTATGATGCACAGAACACAAAAATTGTTACCGTAATAGAAGAAAAAGTCAGAAATAAAAAGGAGAGGAAGGGAAATCGTTAGTCAGTTAGTTAGTTAGTCAGTCAGTCAGTCAGCGTCCAATCAAAAATATCCAATTCAGTCCTACAGGAGGTCAGTTGCGGGCCTGACTGACTGCAACACTTACTGGATGACGCAGGTTTGAATCTCAGAAGGGAGGGACATGAGTTCCTTCAAGGTTGCAGATACGCCTAGCTGACTGACTGATGACTGCCGACTAGCACGAAACCTAGGTGAAGCAAGGCTTTCTGTGGCCAACTGCCTCCAACCATATAATAATAACAATTCACAGTGCATCGTAATGGCGAGGCACCTAGTGTGGTATAGTGGCCACACTGCAAGCTTGACTGGCTGAAAGAATTCAGTCTGCACCAAAGATAGGACAAGACACATTACACTAGTGTCCAATCAAAAATTTATTTCGCTTGTTTGATCATCCTTGGGGACTGTTAAAAACTTGGACTAAAGAAAAACCCCATCAGTATGTTAATGCATATCATTTCTCTTGTTCACTTAGTCTTGATTCAGTCAAATATGATGTCTAATAGGTAATATCTGTCTGTCTGTCTGTCTGTTTTCGACATAAAACTTTGCACATATGTGCTTCAGTTCAAGTCCCCACACGCCCTCCATGTAGCGCGCAAAGCAAGAGAAGAAAGTAGAAGAAATGCATAATGGGAACAGTAAGCTGAGGTGTGAGACAAGGGGATAGTAATAACGAAGAACAATTTAGTTTCATTTGAAATCATAAGTCACAAGGATTGGATGCATCTGCTCCATCACTGAGAACTATCACTTTGAGCCATATCATCAATAGTTTTCCCACTGTCGAGGAAGGCGATGACTAGGCTGGGCATACATAACACATGTCCTAACCATCGCAGTTGATGTAGCTTCACAACCCCGTCGATTGATTTCCTCTCCTTACCTAGCACAATAGGTAATATTTACTTTCACGAGTATTTAAAAAGTTTACAACCTTGCTGAGGTGCAAGTTTCTACTAAACTTAAGGAGAACCTTAATTGTTGGTAGCAACGTATCCCAGTACATGAGATAAAACTTCACCTGGATTGATCAGGAGCTTACACCAGTTAGAGAACCCGATTGGAAAACTCAACAGCTGTTTTCTCAGCCTACTTTGAGATCGTAGGGGACTAGAACCCAGGACCCTCCGGTTACGAGCCGCAACCGCCAGCTAGTGCCACAGGCGAGTGATTGTCCTCTTGTCTGACTTTATGAAGACTAATGGTAACAACTTCTCACTGCAAACCCAAGTAACTTTCTGTTTAGGGCCAGTCGCTAGTGGGCCTGCAAGGATTTGATTGGCTACAGGATTGATCACGAGGTTGACATCAGTTAGAGAACCATCAGAAAACATTGAGAGTAAATATCTATCACAAATTGGCAGCAGTTGGAATTCATGGACCATTGAATTGGCTCCCAGTGTTGCTGAATAGTCTTACGAGAGCTGGTCTTCTAACCAGAGTGTCCTGGGTTCAAACCGCAGGGGTGAATATTGATGAAGGGTCCCAAACTAGTCTGACGAAATAGCTGTCCAGTACTGCCTGGTGGTGGTTTTCCAAAGCGCTACACGCATCCTAACCATTTGAAATGATGCATCTGCTTCACAACCTCGTTGATTGATTTTTCTCTCCTTGCCTAACACTCGATTGATGCCTGACCTCACCTTATTATACCACCTAGTGTGTCTAAGAATCTATAAATGTGATGCGTTTTTTCATAATTATAAGACGTCTGTTACCAAGTGTCGTATCTTCTCCTCCTGTTACACTAATATCACTCACTGAGGGTCCGGGAATGAGAGAGGATTTGCAGGTATATACATCCAGATGACGAGTCCCAAGCGAATACCACAAGACTGAATATTCTGTATTCCACATGGCAAATATGCCGAGTAATCCACGACGGGAAAGTTACGGAAGCCTCCAAAGTGAGGCAAGGCTGTCTACTATCGCCAATGGTCTTCCTGATTGCAGTAGATTGGATAACGCGACAGACAGACAGCGGTGGGCAATGAGGAAACAGGCATAAAATGGACTC